ATGCATAACAGGTTTAAAAACAACCTGTTACATTGAACACGGTGTAATTTGCTTAATGTTGTGACCCTGCTTCTATAATTGAAAAGGCGGTGTAAACAGTTCTGGTTTGATTTTGTTGTATTATTTTTAATCTCATTTATATTGTATCATGATATTATTTGCTTTCAAGTTCATCTGAATTATACTTGCATTCTTGGCCTGTAGAAAGTGCAACATGAGTTGTTGATCGTTTATTCAACTCAACTGCTTGAGAAGGAGGGTTCTGGATGTCGTGCTATGCTGAGATTGGACAAGGTATCTTATTGCCTTGCAGTTTATTATCCTGTTTGTAATCAGTCTTCTATTGTATTTCTAAGACTATGCCTGCTTGTTTGTGTCTAGGTGGATGATCTTTCTAGGATATTTAGACTTTACAACAAAATACCTAAAGGCTTGGATCCTGTTAGTCTTGTATTTAAACAGGTTTGTTTGTTTTTTGTTCGTGTTCTTCCAACCTCTTTCAGATGCTCCTTTATTGCAACAGTACTAAAATATGTAATGATTTGCAGCATATTACTGCTGAAGGTACGGCCTTGGTTCAACAGGCTGAAGATGCTGCAAGTAGCCAGGTTCAGTACCTTGTTCTGTTTATGCTGAAAGTGACATATTAACAAGTGTCTTGGTGTAATTGCTGCCATATATTTATCCTGAAAGTTATATATGAACTCAAGTATAGGTGTAATTGCTGCATATGTTTTGTATTCTGTTACGGATCTATTTAAATTTATTCTGCTTATCATTCTATGTATGCATGCTGGAGTGTAGTTGCTAATCACTAAAATTCCTGGGTGTTGCCTCTCTATTTGATGTATCTTGTGGATGTCTTTGAAGTCATTGGTCCCATGTTCTGGCTACTTCAAAAAGTTAGGTGCAAGCATGATTTATGAATATTAACTAGGTGTTTGCATGGTGTGTACATGAATTATATATATGAAACATGCTTTTGTACTATCATGTTTTTCATTATATAATTATAACTTACAATCTGTGTAAGTGATGCCCGAGTTGAGGTTATTGCACGGTTGCTTGATGCACATTTAATTACTCAATCTGGAGTTTTGACTCGAATGCTTGTTAAATTCAAAAGGATCATGGCATTATATGTGCTAATCTACTGAGAAAGAAGAGAAAAAAGTGATTCAGGAATGAGGTGATTGTTTTAAGTCGACTTTTATCATTTTTTGGCTAGAAATATAATGGCCTGATAGTAAGCTGTCCTTCCTTGAACGCTTGTTGACTAAGTTGTGCCAAGGGTTCTTTATCAGTAGTATTATTTGATTTTGTATTGTGTGTGCCTGGTGAATCCTATTCGTTCAGGAGTGAACTAAATATGTGTGCATCTTGCTTTTTATGTTATGGTGTTAATTTGTATCAAAATTGCTTCTGCAGGCTCGAGGTGGAGCTGGCACACAGGAACAGGTAACTACGTTAATCCTTATTATTTGATAATTTTGGCAGTGATTGGAGATCCGTAGTTGACGTATCTTTGTGGTTTTCAGGTCCTTATCAAAAACATAATTGAGCTGCATGACAAGTATATGAAATATGTTGATGATAGCTTTCAGAACCACACACTCTTTCACAAGGTTAGTGTTACAGAATTCTTGTCATTTACACTTGTCTTCTTACTTTCTCTAAGAGGCCCTTTTCCGTTGGGTGTTTAATAGGCATTGAAAGAGGCTTTTGAGGTATTTTGCAATAAATCCGTTTCTGGGAGTTCAAGTGCGGAATTACTTGCGGGATTCTGTGATAATATCCTCAAGAAGGGTGGGAGTGATAGGTTGAGCGATGAGGCCATAGAAGAAACGCTTGAGAAGGTATTATTTTATTGAGGGTTTTTCTTATCATGAATTTTCATTTATTGTTGGTGATGTGTTTGGTAATTCTTGTTGAACTTGGTCTTTTGGATTAATTTTAAGATTGTCATCTAACTGTTTTCAGGTTGTTAAGTTGCTTGCTTATATCAGTGACAAAGACCTTTATGCAGAATTCTACAGGTAAATCCTTTTTTTCTATCAATGTGTAGCGTATGTGGTTTCGTGTCACTTACCAGTTAAGTTCCTGTCAGATACTTGGTGGTTAGTGTTTTAACAAGGCTCTTACCAGTTACTATGTGAAAATCCAACGGTTAATAGTACAAAGTCTTGGGTCAAATAAGTGATACGAGTCCTATTAACCATTGGGTTTTCATCCAACGGCTTATGACATGGTAAATGATCATTAACAGCTAACAGTGTCTTTGTACTCCCAACATATATATGTGCGTGTTTGTGTGCATGTGCAGCTCAGTAGACAATTAAGTAATTGTTTTCTATGCACAGGAAAAAACTAGCCCGTCGGTTACTTTTTGATCGGAGTGCCAACGAAGACCACGAAAGAAGTATTCTGACGAAGCTTAAGCAGCAATGTGGTGGACAGTTTACGTCAAAAATGGAGGGAATGGTGAGTCAACCTGTTTTTCCCTGAGCGTCTCTCTGACTGTTACTTCGCTGTTAATAGAGATATTTTCCTTTTTTTTCTTTTTTTTTTCTTTTTTTTTTTCTGTCAAACGATGGTCAATTTATCAAGCTCGTATAGAAATGTTTACATCTCGAGCAAGAGAGTTAAAAACCCAATTGGGAACAACAAACCCCAACTTGGACTACCACCCTTTCCAGTGTCTACAAAGTAAGCTACCGGGTCACACCATTACAATTATGTGAAGCGTAAAAAAAAAAAGATATACTCCGACCGTCTAGCCATCTGATGCACATCCTGCAAAGTACTTTCAATATCTTCATCCCTTTGCAGAAATTTGTCTTTGTCGTCACCAAGTATTTTTAATACTAGGATTGGGTCAATTGAGAGAAATTTTAACTAGTGGTATTGACTTAAGGTGGATAGGAAAATTATTGTTATTGACCTAAGATGAAGTAGAAAATTGTTTCATGAACTTATTTTTTTGACCTATATTGAATTTCTTCAATTATCTTTCAGGTCACTGATTTGACAATAGCTCGGGACCACCAGAAAGGGTTTGAGGAGTATCTTCACGATAACCCTGCTGTGAATCCTGGGATGGACTTGACAGTCACTGTGCTTACAACTGGTTACTGGCCAAGTTATAAATCGTTTGATCTTAACCTTCCTGAAGAGATGGTAATATTAAGTTTGTGGAAGATTTCCACTGCAAATATAGATTGTGCTTGGAAATACACGTTCCTAAATATGGTATTCCTGATGCCTAGATATTTGGCGTATATATCTATTTCAGGTGAAATGTGTTGAAGTTTTCAAGGGATTCTATGAAACAAAAACGAAACACCGGAAACTTACATGGATTTACTCATTGGGCACGTGCAATGTTACTGGCAAGTTTGACACCAGACCCATTGAATTGATCGTGTCAACCTATCAGGTTATTCCACAATATTTTGCTTAATTTATTTTGGCCATTGGCAGAATGTCACTTTTTCAAGAGTATTCGAGTACGGGGACTATAAGTTGTGTTGTATTTTTCACAGGCTGCTCTCTTGCTCCTCTTCAACAGCGCTGATAAATTGAGCTATTCAGAAATATTGACTCAGTTGAACCTTACTCATGACGACTTGGTTAGATTGCTTCATTCGCTCTCGTGTGCCAAGTACAAGATTCTCATCAAGGAGCCAAATTCAAAGACCATCTCAACGAATGACAGCTTTGAATTCAACTACAAGTTCACGGATAAAATGAGAAGAATCAAGGTCTGAGATCCCTGTACTTTTTTTCCACTTCATTCTTGTTCTGAGAGTTGAAAATTCATAAACTATGGCTGTTTTGTTATCCTTAGATTCCTCTCCCACCCGTCGATGAAAGGAAGAAAGTGATTGAAGATGTTGACAAAGACCGGAGATATGCTATTGATGCTGCAATTGTTAGGATTATGAAGAGTCGGAAAGTTTTGGGTCATCAACAATTAGTCATGGAGTGCGTTGAGCAGCTGGGAAAAATGTTCAAGGTACTACACTATGTTTGTCATTGGATGCAATTTTCGGTGTTCGCGTATAGATATTTTGCCTCTCATATCTGTATCTATACATTCTGTGCTCTTTTGTTCCCATTTAATCCGTTCTGACAACGGTTATGGGCGGACTTGAAATGTGCAGCCCGACATCAAAGCAATTAAGAAGCGAATTGAAGACCTCATCACTCGCGACTACCTGGAGAGGGACAAGGAAAACCCCAACATGTTCAAGTATCTTGCCTGATTCGATTGCTTGGGTACAGGAGGCACTGGTTGAAAACCCTAATCAGAAAAGGCTCGAGCCACAGTTTCTTCTTCTTCTTCGTCTTCGGATTTGAGACCCGAGAGATCTGCTGTATATTGTGTGCAGCTCTTTTAGAAATGCTAGGATTTTTCAAAGGAGTGGAAGATTTTTGTGCAACTGACCCGTTATCTATATGTTTTTCTAACTTAGGGGGAAATATTATTATTGGCAATAATATTAAGATTTTTGTACTGCTATTTAGTGTTTTCGTTGTTGCTTAACGACGTTTAGAAGGCTAAGGGCTCGTTTGAAAGTGTTTTTAAAATGTTGAAAGTGCTTTTGATGAAAATGTTTTTAGAATCGATCCTCAATAAAATTGCAAGTAAATTCTAGAAAAGTACTTAAACTGCTTTTTGGAAGAAACACATAATTGATGTTTTTCTAGCGACTAAAGAATATATGATCACTCACAGATTGATTTGATGTCATATTAAGAGTTGGGTTCAAAACATTAAAAACTCATTCGTTCATTCTTTGTATGATATCAAATTCAACAGTTGGGTTTGAAACTTAAAAAATTTAAAAGCATTCGTCCGTCTCCAAGTGAGCATGTAATTAAAAACACAAAATAACTCAACAATTTCCATTTTCACAAAATTACGAGTTTTTTTTTTTTTTTTATAACAAACGATATTATCTACATTGAAAGAGATCTAACAATAATATGATTCAAAATTGTCTCTTAAAAAAATTGAACATAAAACTTCTCACTTGTAGTGAAGAAGAGTACCACCAGACAATAGTACTAGCTTACCAGGTAGCCAAACATTACGAGTTATAGTCACAATTTTTCACCATAAAATTCATGGAAGAAATTAGAGATGATGCGGCCTAAAAAATCTACAAAACGTATTTTTCTAAAAAGAATACCACCAAATCGTAGTACTAGCGCTCAAAACCTCCCGTTGACATTTCCGGCTTTTTTCAATGAATAATTCTAAAACCCGGATAACAACTATCGCTAGCTGAACTCATTTTAAACATTATTGTGTAAACCTAAACAAATGTTATTTCCATCGCTAAACAATCGTTAAATCACTAGCTGTTCGGAAACTATACTATCCACATCACATCCGGCAAAATTCAAAACGAGAATATCACACCGAATTCATACGTCTACTCGCTAGAGCTGCAGAAATCGCAACTACCCCCGCTGCTCAACCTGCACGCAGAGACCCTGTTTGGTTAGCAAAACATTATACGCTCCTCGAATTCAATCTACAAGACTTGCAGTAACAATATCGATCAGTCAGAAGTCTCTGGATTTGTTGCTTTCTTTACTTAAAACCCTAGAACATCTCTCATACATGCCACATAAACGGGAAAGTGATTTTCTACTTCCTGACACTCCTCTCTCTTTCTCTAGCCCTTGGATTGAATTAAATCAAGGGAACTTTAACGAAAAGCTCCCGGTACTATTCACTTTAATGAAAAACCACATTTTTACACTAAAAAATCAATACTGGTACTATTCACTTTACCCTTTATTTTGTCCTTAGTATTAAAACTCAAAGTTTTCAAACCCTTTTCATTAGTTTTCCTTTAAATCAAAGGAGAATCAAGAGTAAAGACGAAAGGGAAGGGTACAGAAGAAGAGTAATTCGGCTCAATCCTGCCCTCCTCTAATGTATGCAAATATATCTTTAATTATCTGAAGTCGACAAAAAATATTGACGTTGCTAAATCATTAGAACCTTACCTGTTAGATCTGAAGGACCGAGTTAATAATATACAACCGATCCCCTTCTCTTTACAGACGGAAACACGCGCAGATTCTTCAATGATCCCGATTCAATGATTAGTATATGATATATACATTGTCGCCACTGGCAAGATAAAGTGAAAATAGACAGAGTTAGAGATGAATGCACTCAGAATGAAGCATCAAACTTTCACCAACAGTTACAGCTAACAAACCTTTGAGGAAAGAAACTCAGGCAAGCGCAGCAGGTTCGAGCTAACATGCATAACAGTGATAATAATTCGCTGATAATGTAATTTTTTTTTTTTTCATCTGATTTCGTCTCTATTAACGCAAAGAAGATATCCTAACTACAACAAAAGTGAAGACAACCTGCACATGTAACACATATCAAAATCAAATTCAGACAAAAAAGTGCAAATGGTAACTGAAAGGTTTGACGGGGAAATACAGATTATCTATTAGAAAAACAGCATACCTACGATTTCCATCTTTTCCACCCTTTTCTACAGCGTCGGTGTGGTCTCAACTGTTGAATCAAGGTGGCAGCTGCCAGTCTTCTCCACAAAGTTCAACATAACGAATTATCAAGATAAGTTAACAGTCTGAACAATTAAGAATCTCCAAAGCTGTAAGTTCTGGTTTTTGAACTCAAAACAAACCCCCTATTGATTTTAGAACTCGTTCTCTCGTCCTTATATACAACTATTATATCTCCCCTCACATTCTTGATGAAGTAAATCCACTTTCAGAAGCAGCTCCAGAATCTTTTCATTAGAGCCGTACTTGACGATGATTTGTCAGTGCTAGAAAGCAGATTCGAGACCACATAAAATAAAATGACTAGGAGTTTGCTGTATTTGAAACATGAAGATAAACAATCAGTCGCTCAACAGATGTTCCAAGCAGTTCAGCAGAAGTATCAAGACCAGACTCGTTTTCCTCCTTCCTTAAGGCATGAGCCCAAGGATTCACCAATTGACCTTTTGCTAGGGTTGAATCATAACACAACTACTTGCCTTTTTTAACGGCTGATAGCCTCCATCGCGAGCCGTACCAAACGTAGTAATCCCTCTACGTCTTGGAAGTGAAAGTCAAGAGCCCTTTTAATGGCAGATATACCTTCTGCACGCTTAGCATCTCCCGTGTTTGTATTAGCAGCTGCAAATGCAAGCCACGATTTCCTCGACGCTTCCATTGCAAAATTTACATCCTGAGCCTGCAAGAAATCATATTTACAAAATGTTCGGTCATCATCCACACTTCTCTACTGTGAAAAGAGAATACCCATTCTTAAATAAATTGATAGTCAATTCTTGTTCATGCCCTTCTCTGACCACGTTATACGTACTAAAAATCTAGAAAAATAATTCTGATGAAAATGTGCAACAGTACGAGGGAAGTTTCAGAATAGGATCTATATAAACTTACAAAATTGAGCATCCGGAGAAAATTGGGACGGTTTCGGGCAGCAATAACATGGTTTCCAGCAACTTGGGGAGAGCTAACGCCCTTGGGTAAGGCAACCTTGTCTAACGTTGAGGGGTTGTTTAGGTTATCAACATCAGAGGCAGAGGAAGAAGGAGATTCACCTGATAGAAAAGCAACAAGACAATTATCAAATTAGCAGCAACTCAGAACAAGGCTATTAAGAGCCTTGCAGCTCCTCTAGAACCAACTAACAGCTCACTTAGGATGCTGGTCAATTTACCAGGAGGAACCAATTGTAAAGCTGTTTGCAACTCAAGACGATCTCTGCTTGCACTGGCATGTGAGGAGTATATCACCCTCATATAAGCCACTTCCATGCATTTGTAGGCCAAAGCCGCAGCAGCCATATCCTTGGCTTTCTCGTATTCATGTGCACAAAACCTATAAGATAATTTTTAATTAACAAGGAAAAGCATAAAAGGCATGAAAGCTCCAGAACCCATTAGAATATAAAAGCCTGCAAAGAACATACTTAAAAAAACAATAGGAATGGCTACTATACGTGCCACTACAGTATATGACAATAACTATTCTAATGACCAAAGACGACACAATCAATACCTAGTACGGCCCAAAAGCACATCCCACATGCAAAAGACAGATGACAGCTTCAACAGTATGAGAAGATCACTCCCTACATCTTAAGAGCTAATGCTATGTGTACCCCAAAAGTACACTTTCTCTGTCACCCCTCCCAACCAATCCAAAAGGGCTTTCGATGCAAGTCCAAATACACGATGGTAAAAACCACAAAAATATAGTTGAAAGTACCACCTAAAATTGCAGACAACCATATTATGGGTCCCAATGCACATGCAGGGTTCCACAAAGGGTAGAGCAGGACTCACAGCAAGGTTGCACAAGTCGATATGATCACTAAGACCCAAAACCAGTGCATGTGCCACGAGAAAAGAAGTATTAATACGGCTCAAATTTGACTTACTCGCATAGTTTCGCGGTGCTACTATACATTTGCATGCACTGAGTCATGTCAATATGCTTGGCACTATCAGTGTTCTCCAACAAAGATGCAGCATGAATAAATTTGACAGCCGCTTGGAAGTAAAGCCCCGTACTTTCGGAAGACCCGGCGTTCTGCAAGGATTAGTATTACAAATGATTATTACAGAAAGGAGAACAGCAACATCTAATCATGAAAATATGATGGTTAAAACCTTGACGCGATCAGCAAGATGTTTTAGATCTTTAGCTTCTTTCAGAGCATTAGTACCAGCCTGGCTGCCGGAGTCCCTTCTAACTGGACTAGGGGCATCAATATCCCTGGCCCTGTGCCCATTCTGTGCAAGATGCCTTGAACTGATATGCTTAGCTCCATTCTGATTATCAACCCTTCTGGTTTGCATTTGCTTCAGAGCATCATTACCTTCAGAGGCATCAACTTGTGAGCTATCTGCTCCATTACCCTTTTGAGAACCCACAGCTGGTCGGGGACAACGACCCGTAATCTCATTTTGAAATCCACCAGAGGGTGGCAAGGGTAGTGACTTCCCCCTAACTGAGCCTGCATCCACTCGTTCAGTTTTTTCAGAAGGAATCTTTGATGACTTTTCACCATCACAATCTTGCAGTGAATTCTGCTTGGGAGTAGAAATTGCATCTTTTTTGCAAATGGTTTCTGGCTTAACATCTGGGCCATCATGCCCCCCAAAATTCGACTGACCTTCCCTTTTACTGCTCTCAATGGAAGATTTTCCGGTAACATCTTTCTTGCTGACATATTTGTTCTCAGTTTCACCAGATTTAGACCCAAATTTCTCCTGCAACTTGTTTTTACCATCCTCGGGTTTTATTCCATGAGAGGGTGAATGATCTTTCTGTTCACTGAGAACATTAGAATTCTTGGCCTCACCAATGTCCAAATCAGATTCAAAGCTCCTTTTCTTGTCCTTTGACAGTGAAGAAGAGTATCCCTTCCCTGACTTTCTTGGGTGCGACCCATTAGAGTGATAATGCTTTCCATTCTCTCTGTCCTGGAAATCAAGCACAGAAGACTCACGGGCCCCATGATAAGCCACAGTGGAGACTTTGTCCTTCCTCGCTGTTGCAGATCGATCACTCCCACCATCATCTTCGCCATCTGAGCACCTTCTTGGGCTACCTATGGCAAAATGACCAGCATTTTGTGATTCATCCTTTCCCATGAGGTCCCTGCGTACTGATGTAAGCTTATCAGGATTCAATATTCTCATAGGTGAAGATGAGACAGATTCTACAGGTGAACCTTTAACTTCCTGAAAGCTGGATTTCGTTTTCTGGGAGCCAGAGATTTTGGACGAGCTTGAAGTTGCAGCCATAGGAACCTGTACAGATCCCAAATCTTTTTTCAAGGAATCCACATCATTCCTACTCCGGTGAGTTAAGCTGCTACTGATATCTTTTCTATGTTGTTGGTTCTTTGTATGGCTGATTTTTTTGTCTGTTCTACCACTTCCTTTGCTTGCACTAGACTCTTTCCCCTCGGATTTAGAAGTCCTTGCCTTCTTTTCTTTCCTGCGGTAGTTCTCACTAAACTCCTCCTTCACGGCGATTGAATGATCCTCAACATAATGCCCTGTAGCTGGAATGGAACCCATGTGAATTTGAGAATCGGAGGATTCCTTCAGTTTTCTCTTTTTTGATCTACCTTTAGAATCAATGTTTCCCACATCTAAGGATCGACTATTTAAGAAAGCTTCATCTTTTGCTTTTGTAATAGAAGCAGCGTGTGACCTGTTCTTGATTTGATCTTTCCCTGCAGCAGCAGTCAGAAAACCACCACTTGAGCTAATACCTACCTCCCCAACTGCCCCACTGTAGTCTGATGCCCATTCTTCATCATTGATATGTTTAACTTCAGTCTTGATTTTCTTGGAAGCTCTAGAAGAATCTGGATCAGAGTCTCTTCTATTCTTTATCTTTAAATTCTTGATGTCACCTGTTTGACATGCTGTATTAGTACGTACATAGCATTCACATTAGTTAAGGAAGTTTTAAAAGCACAAAAAAAAATGCTGTTTCATACAGTACCTCCCCCAGTAGAGCGCTCTAAATCTCTATGCTTCTCCCTGTACTTGTGTTTTCGTTTCTCCACTGCCATGTCACTGGATTTGCTTAGCTGCTGCAAATCAGGTTCACTTGGCAGTGGAGACTGATTCACATCATTCAAGCTTCTACTCTTCACCGATGCCTGCATGGTTTTCTTCATAGAGTTTGGAAACTGAATGGAACCATCTTTATTAGTTGCATTTGGCAATTCTTTTGCTCCAATTTTTTTCTTTCCACCACTAGGCATGGCAGGCAAACCAAAATTTTCAAGGTTTTGGTCAGGGTTTCGAGGCTTAGGCAATGCCACTCCTTCCAGTAAACCAGGATTTCTGGGCAGATTATTTTGACTCTCAGGGGCAGGAACTTGGTACTGTGCAATGAGAGCTTTCGTCTTTTCTGTTGTTTCCTCCTCGTTTACATTACACCGATTCATTCCAGGCCTACATTTGAATCAAGAGATGAGCTTTAGAGAGATAGAAAGCAAGAGAGATTGGAATGAACAGTCACAAATTATAAAATGGCATACATCAGTATACCACTACAGGTTTTGTAGATACAGCGATATACAATGTACCGTAATGAACGTAGTGATAGATAGGTTAGAAAATGCCTACGACAAAGGAACTTACAGCCAATTAAGCATGCTACACAGCCACTTCTCAGGTAGGCTCTCCAGGTTTGTGCCATATGGAAGAAGCCGCCATTTCAGACACTTGTCACAACACACCCAATTATCTGCTATCGGTGCAGGAGCCCCCGTAGCAGGAGGCACAGCAGACACAGGCCCATTTCCAGAGTGTGGGGCTATATTTGAAGCCGTCATAGGATATGAGTCTGTAATTGATGGTTTTTCAAATTTATTGCCACTTTGTCTCTCCCTTGATGCACTGTTAACTGCAGATGTGCTTTTTGCAACAGCATCAGAGTCCTTAAGCTTATCTTCAACTGGCAGTTCAGATAAATTCATTTGGTTCTTTTCATCTATATCCCCAAACAAATCTCTATATGTATCCCTGCTTTGATCAATATTAGAACTATTTGCATGAGTGCCCTTCATTTTGGGCGCTGAAGAAGAACCAACCCTTGAGCTTTCTTTTGGAAACTCAGCAACCGTGGTCCTGTGACTTTCCTTCGGTTTGTTTTTCTCCCCAGGTACTGGATACTCCTTCCCAGAAATTAGTCTTGTATCATCTACCTCATGTGATGTAGCCTTCTGATTGACTTTCTGCTTTGAATGGTCCATGACTTCAGTATTTAGAGATTTCCTCCCTTTGGAAACATTTAAGTCACCTTTTACCAATTCATAAGTTTTCTCTACCCTGCAATGGCCCTCTTTCTTTGGGTGAACCAAAACGTCCTCACTCACATTCACTTTTCTATCTTCCTGAACCTTTCCAGCCAAATTGGCTTTTCGCTTTTCAACCCAGCCATCCTCTTGGGTGGAAATTGGCTCCATTGGTTCATCTTCTGCTTGACCAGGGAAGACCTTATCCCTCACTAAAGTTTTCTTATCCATTTCTTTGCTCTTTATCACATCGTTGACAGTAGAAAATGAACTAGATAGAAGTGGGAGCTTCAAGGTTTTAGAAACAAGCTCCTCACAAGCAAACATGTCAATGTCATGTTCCTTCTTTGACAGAAGCCCAGTTCCATCCTTATTTTTCCCACTCTTTGATTCAGCTGACAAATCATTTCTTTCGACCAATTTTGTTTCCTCGATCCTGACACTTTCCCACCTCCCTCCATGGTATGATTTCCATTCACTCTACCCTCTTTTAGGAGCTTTTCCTTTTCAATTAAGTAAATGAGGTCGTCATGAAGAGGTGACATCATATCCTCATGCACGGGAAAGGATGTCATAATCTGCTCCAGAGCACCACCAAAAGAAATGTTTTAGATTAAGCACACTATTTCAGAAACAGAAAACATCTGAATATTACAGGGAGATGATTCACCTGAAGAATACAGGTGGGAGATTCAAATGGGGCATCTTGAGGCTCATGAGATATCCCTTCACTCTCTGAAGGGCTATCATCTACTGAGGAAGATGATGTGGCATCAAGACCAAGCCCACTGTAGATAGCATTTTTTCGTGTCGACAAGTTATCCGATCCCACTTTAAGTCGCACCTTCAGTGTTTTCTGGTCCAATGAATTAATATCTTTCTTGTTTGCAGATTCATGCCGAGGAGCGTACTGGTCAGCTTGAATTAATGACACACTTCCTTCTTGTTTGACTGGATCATTTGCTGAAGGTGCCTTTGGTGCAACAAGCGAGGTGGAACCCGTAGAAGCAGGTCCAACTCCCACTGACTGAGGTGTATTATAACAAACTGCATTGTTACGTTGACCAGCCTGTGTAGAAAAATAATGAGGGATGCTCAAGTACACTGATAATTGTCAAATAAACCACTACGAGACAAAGGTTTGTCTACAGAACTAGATATAAGTAGGAAATGACATACTGAGAGTTGATACCTCAAGTTTCAAATTGTTGGGAGATTTGAGTAAGCTGCAGTTCTGAACTTTTTGCGGAGTCTTTGGATGAGACGACACTGGAGACCGCTGATAAGAAGGTAAAAATGAGCCATACCCACCCCACTTTGCCCCTGTTGCAATGTATTGATTGCCAACTCGTTACTTAAAGAGAACTTAAAATTAATGAATCTCTCAAGCACAAGAGATAATGTAATTCCCTTCTATTGACTTACCCAAATTCTCCGCAGAAACTCCACCTTCAAATTCTTTCTGGAAGTGTCCCAAAACATCCTGAATTTTATCATCCTAATACCAGAGAGAGCAGTATGTGTCATTAAAATGCAAAGCTTGTCTAAAGAGACGCAAAGTAAACAAGACAGTTATACTTCAATAACGCTTTTCGTAAGATTAGGCATCTTTATGATTTAAGATTTTACATTGTCGAGCTACCAAATATTAACTACCTAAAGCAATCACACTTCATGACCTTACAACAACACTTAAACAAGTATCAGAATCTCAAAACCCCAGTTTCAAATTCCAAAAGGTCACCCATCGCATTTGAAGCTAACGTAGATAAATTCTACAAAACTTGATTCTAACATTCAGATTTTACAATCCCACATAACTCATAACTACACAGTAAGTCATTATGGATTCCAAAACTGAATCGTTTTCAAGGCACATTATATGGCACGTTAAACCGTTATAATAACCAGTAAGTTCAGCGCGAAAACCAATTACTCGCATGATTCAACCCCTCAAAACAGCATTTTCATGCCAGACCATAAGTCAAAGACGGATACATCCTTACATTACAAAGTGGATGAATAAGATATGTTAACACTGTAAGTACATTACAACAATCATAAGCTAAGTAACAAAGTCCTAAACTACAGCTCCGCTCCCTGAAAGCAAATATCAAGTCTTTAAGCTTCTTAAGCTCAAGTAAGAGATTTCTACTCAAATTTAATTCAATAAAAAGTTCACGTTCCATTAAGTGCCCTTAAATTCTTAACATAATCAAAGTAAAATTCAATTTCAATCAAACTCCATTAGCTTGGATCTACCCACCATACAAGTCAACCCAAAAAAAAATCGAGCAATTCAAACCGATATTCATGTAAGGATCAAACTTTTAAGCAGCATAAACACATGTATATCCAAATCTACATGTATAAATACATATATGTGTTTCTATATGCTTACGATGTAAGAGAGAGCAACATCGACATCGATGTTGGAATCGTATTCATTGATGTGGGAAGAGCAAGCTTCGCCTTCTTCAAGCTCAGTATCCTCCATCTCTATCCTACCAGCAAACCCTAATTCCATCCCCTTCCTTGCATCCCTAGTCCCTACAGAAATCATCCACAAATCTCTCTCTCTCAAATTCTTCAACTACTAATCAAACCACGACCCATTCAACAAAACCCCAAATCCCCATCAATCAAATTCCCACCCGATCACACAAACACCCTCAAAAATCAATAACCCTAAATCCCAAAATTCAAATCTTCCAAAATTTCCCAAATTAAAAAACGAATTTTTAAAATTAAACAAACCCAATTGGGTTTCTAAAAGCTCCGATTTCGCCAACAGTTTCTGCGTGTAAATTCTTTTGAGCTGAAAATTTGATTCAGCAGGACTCTCTCTCTCCTCTCTCTCTCTCTCTCTCTCTCTCTCTCTCTCTCTCTCTCTGGGTTTTGGTGTTTACAGCAGCCGGTTTCTTAATTTCTGATTTTTCTTTTTCTAATTATTTTTATTTTCTTTCGCTCGAAGCAAAAATTAATTAATTAATCATATTTTTCTGGCAATAATATTAATTTATGTAATTTATGTGTCCACGTAGAATTAGGAAAGAACCAGGATCTAACCAGCATACACCGTTTGCATATTTCCTTTTATTTTCGTTTTGGCCCCTATATTTCCTCTTTTTTATGTAATGGCTCTGTCGTGAAAGACTGAGAATTTATAGTTTGAGACGCAAGAATGCGCGTGGTTGCTTCTTCATTTTTTGGCCCTTTGAGAAATAAATAATTCACCAAAAATGTAGTTTCTATAGGTGATATGTTCTAACATAAATACAAGAGATTATTAATTTGTTACAAATAAATAATTCACCAAATAAAACTTGTATGCTAAATTGTAAAGTATAGGTGATTCTTGTAGTAGTGTGATAGCAAGAATGTTGTACAATATATTATACAAGTTTGTTAATTGGTTAAAACGTACACGAAAAATATCGTTATGAAATATGTTTTATATAAGTCAACAATGGTGGTTGAATTTGTAACGATGGTTATTTATTATAGATTCTGTTGATGCACAAAACCGGAGGGGTCTTGGAACAACATAAATCTGACCGTGAATCTGCAAGTAATGTAAATAACACAAGATGTATCGTGGTTCACCTCAAGGTTTGGGCTATGTCCACACTGATTATGTATTTATCTGAGAGGTGAGGGAGAGAACATCTGAATATGAGAGGGGATGTGAGAGGGGTGAGAAGGCTCCAGAATTGGCCTCCCCTAATTGTGAGGGTGAAGGGTCCTTTTATAGAATAAGAACTCCTCACTTATTACATATTTGCCCTTTCTTTATCACATAATTACATTTAAGTCCCCGAGTATTTGTACAAGATCTAAATACGAGGCCCTAAATATGGTATAAACAGTAGTCCCCCAAGTCTTCAGTCAAGAGAGTCTTTTGGCTGGAGACTTGAAATTCAGTCCATTTGTGGGCCGAAGTAACTAGATGTTGTCTTGAACTGATGCTCGATATGAAGCAGTGCTCAATCTGAGATGATGCTCAACTAGAAGTAGCACACACTGCGAGGCTGCTTGGCTCGTGGCTTATGTTGCCTTGGTTGGCTCAGCTTTGTGGCGTTTGAAGGTGAGGGAGTCTCTTTTATAGAATAAGGGCTTACTTCTCAATACATGAATGATGGGCTATAGTTGATGCTCTTTAATGATGGTAAGGGAGTCCTATTTATAGAATAAGGGCTCGTTCCTTAATACATAAATGATGGCTTATGAGTGATGCTCGCGGCGAGGCGGTTGCTCAGCTGGCGGCGATGCTCTCTAACGAAGGTGAGGAAGTCCCTTTTATAAAATAAGGGCTCGCTCCTCAGTACATGAATAATGGGTTATGAGTGATGCTCGTGGCGAGACAGTTGCTCAGCTGGCGGCAATGCTCTCTAACGAAGGTGAGGGAGTCCCTTTTATAAAATAAGGGCTCACTCCTCAATACATAAGTGATGGGCTAAGTCCCCCAAGTATTTTTCATGAGTGCTCTCTAATGAAAGTGAGGGAGTCATTTTTATAGAATAATGGCTCGCTCCTCAATACATAGATAATGGGTTAAGTCCCCCAAGTATTTTTCATGAGTGCTCTCTAATGAAAGTGAGAGAGTCTATTTTATAGAATAAGGGCTCACTCCTCAGTACATAGATAATGAGCTAAGTCCTCCAAGTATTTTCATGAGGCCTAGTTGAGGCCCAATATATGGTACATAATGTAGTCTCCCAAGTCTTCAGTCAATAGAGTTTGTTGGCTGGAGACTTCAAATTGAATCCATGTATGGGCCGAAGTGGCAGTTGTTCGGAGGCGGTATTTGTATACCCTGCACTGAAGCTTTGTAGTTGAAGTTTTGCAAGTGAAGCTTTGAAGCTGGAGCTCTGTAAATGAAGCTTTTAAAGCTAGAGCTTTTGTAAATGAAGTTTTTGAAGCTAAAGCTCTGTAAATGAAGCTTTTGAAGCTGATTGACATGAGTGATGCTCATGAATGTTATCATGATATGCTCATGAATGTTGACATGAATGATGGTCATGAATGTTTATGTATGATTGTCATGAGTGATGTTCATGAATGTTTATGTATGTATGACATGAGTAATGCTCATGTATAATTTGGAGTACTGGGCGTACTTTTGATCACCTAGTTGGTGGCATGAATGAGAGTACGAGTTGTACATTTCATCACCTAGTTGGTGGCATGAATGGCTAGTTACCAAATGATATTAGAGTACGGGTTATATTTCATCACCTGGTTGGTGGCATGAATGGCTAGTTGTCAAATGATATTAGAGTACGGGTTGTACATTTCATCACTTGGTTGGTGGTAATAGCGGCAAGTTGCCAAATAATTTTGGAGTACTGGGCGTACTTTTGATCACCTAGTTGGTGGTAATAGCGGCAGGTTGCCGAATAATTTTGGAGTACTGGGCGTACTTTTGGTTACCTGGTTGGTGATAATAGCGGCGGGTTGCCGAATAATTTTGGAAGTACTGGGCGTACTTTTGATCACCTGGTTTGTGCTATTTTGGGCTTATGGGCTTTCGCCTTCCACAACATGCCAGCCTATTTATTTTGGGCTTTGCCCTTTTTTTTATATTTATTATTATTATTATTATTATTATTATCCTCTGATGGGGTTTATACAGATGTTTCCGAAAGATAAGGAAAATAAATTACATCATTATGGTGGGGTGTTTATTCATTGCTTTTGCAGTGTCTCCATGTGCCTCCATTTTGCTTTCTCTTTATCCCCATGTGCCTCTCTTTTGCTTTCCTCATTCCACCGCATCTTATTTTTGCTTTTACTTTGCAGAGTGCAGATGGCACTCAAGTTCTCTGTTTCCCTTTCTGCTTTGCCGACAAAAGCAGTGGAGAAGTGGGGGCAGCAATGCCTGCAGGTTCAACTTTGTACATGGCATGTGGTGGAAAGCCTGGGACAGGTGGAGTGGGACATCTCTACGTCGAAGCAGCCAACTGCTGCATTGGAAAACATGGTGCTCCTGGAGTTGGTGAGTTCGGAGCACGCTGGTGGTGAGCGAATCAAGGTTCTTGTAAGAAATATGCAGCAAACTATTATGCAATGCGTATACGCACATGGCTGCTCACGTAGTTATGCTCATAAGTTTCTGCAGGTTCTTTTTGTTCTTCCTTCAAACTAATGCCGGTGATGTTCATAGTTTGTGACACGAAGTATTTCAGGTTAGAAAACAGAGAGGATGAGGAAGAAGACATTGTTTGGCTAAGTGAGAAGTTAAAAGTGGAAAGCAGAGAGCTAAGATCCTAGTTGTCATTCCTCAATACTGCTGGGTTAAGGATCCATGAAGGTCTTTGTACAAACATAAGCAATCCAGCAAACACCTGATGGTCTCCAGAAGTGAGGCTCTCATGTCCAATGTTTGTATACAACTCGGCTCAAGAGCCAGAGTTCGATTGCAGTCCGCGATCGCCTCAGCAATCCGTCCCGCCACCCGAAAAACGAAGGCTCGCTGCATATAGCACTTTGCCAGGAATCCCTATGGGGCTCCACGCCGGCCGTCCACGATTTTGCATAAGTGGTGGATAGCAAAATAAAGTAAAGTAATTGAAGATATTGTGTGCTACTGCCACATTACAATTTTCCCAATCCAACATTTTCCCGGGAACCAAACAGAAAATCCAAAACCAAAGTTGGAAAATTTTCTCACCAGGCATGATCTGAAGGCGATCGTTCCCCTGGCGCTCAAAATCGGTGATAATATCATACGCCTTCCGCTGCTTCTCGGGGATCCAATTCTCAATGTGGTGCAATATATCGATCCCGGAAGGGTTCTCAGCCTTGATTCTGACGTACTCGTCTTCGCCGAGCACGACTCTATACATTGCAGCGAAATCGATAACGGGGACTGTTAAGGTTTCGTCCATGTCGAAGACAACGCCTCGGAAGCGCGCCCTGGTGGTTGGGCGGTGGTAGTGCCCATTGTGGCCATGGGTCTTTTGGTGATTTTGAGTTTTAGGTACAGGAAGATGAGTGTTCTGGGCAGTAGTAGTAGTGGCATGGGGCAGGATTGGAGTGTATTGGGTATTTGAAAGGGAGGTATTTGGGTTTAAATTGAGAAATTGAAATTTGTGGGTGTGCAATTGAGTGGCTTGGAGAGCCTCTTGGGTTGTGGGTAGTGTTTGGTTGGTATCTAGGCTAAGGTCGTTCATCATGCAAAGTAGTGGACATGACACCTGTCATTGACCGTACCATTCACAAATTGCCTAGTGTACATAAGGAAAGCGAAAAGCTACGGTGGAAAAGCAAGTGGCCCTCTCTTTTTCTTGGTGCTAATGGCCATGAGGCCATGGATGTCGTAGATGAGATGAGATGAGAGCTCCCAAAATCCAGATTGAAACTGCACTAAGCTTGGATCTCTCCCGCCAATAACTTCACATATGCTCGAAAATTGCAACCTTCTTCGATGTGCAGTAGCATAGGATGTTGATACGGATTTGTCTCCACCAAGGAAGAGCAGGAAGGACGTTGATGGTGATTTTCCAAATGGATCATTTGGATGTTGCTTTTACAAGAACAGAGAGGGAGGGAAGAGCATAGGTGTTGGAATTTGGATCTTTTTTGTTTCTGGGTTTTTGCAGATTTTGCAGATTTTGCAGATTCACGGTGGAGGTGAAAAAATGAAAGAGAACCGACATAGTTTTTTGTGTCAATTTCCACAGACGGCGCCAAATGTTGATGCACAAAACCAGAGGGGTCTTGGAACAATGTAAATCCGACCGTGAATCTGCAAGTAATGTAAATAACACAAGATGTATCGTGGTTCATCCCAAGGTTTGGGCTACGTCCACACTGATTATGTATTTATTTGAGAGGTGAGGGAGAGAACCTCTGAATACGAGAGGGGATGTGAGAGGGGTGAGAAGGCTCCATAATTGGTCTCCTCTAATT